CGCAGGCACATGAGCAGAAGTTGAGAAGTGTTGGGCCTCTGCATGTTGCCTCGGAGAAGGAGACGATGATCGTGCATGTGTGTGTGTAGGGAGGTGTCTAAACGTGCAGGTGAAGGGACCAGGCTGGGTGTCTGGGTGTCTTCACAGCCTCCCCAAGGGCAGACTTCCTGACTCGTGAGGCAGAGAGCTGAGTCCTGTAGCATCTGTACTAAAGCAGATCTAATAACTGAGGGTGGTGGGTTCTGGATGAACTCGTTACGCTCAGCTGACCTCCAGTCCCTGGGCCCTGCAAAAGTCGGTCTTTGAGCCTCAGAAGTGAACCTTCCCATCCACCCAGTGATGGCTAAAATTAGTCTTTTTTCCCCTCTTATTTTCTCTGTGTACATTGATGGTTGGGTCAATCTGAGATGAGGATTGAAAAGGTGACCCAGGGAATCCTTAGCTCTTCATCCCTAGCTTTGCTCCTGGGTGCCCACCTTTGCAGATGGGGTTGGGTGCTGCTGGGGCAGTTTGCCCCCCAAACCTCACAGCTCACTCATTTTTTCACTGTCTGAAAAAACAGGAAAAAAATAGGGACATATGAGGTTATGAATCCAAAACCAGGGTTTTTAACACATCACTTAGGTGTATGCCTGCACGACTGAAAAATTCACAAGCCTAATCTTTCCTAGACGGGGAGTGCAGGAGAGCCTGTGCAGCTGGAGGTCAGCAGAGCAGTATAAATAGAGCAACACAGAGATTATTAGGTAAAATGGAGAGAGCGGGGATTAATGCAAGAACCAGAAAGGATTTGGCCACTGCCGAGCTTGGATAATGCAGAGAAGCGCTTCCCGAGAAGAGCAGTGCGGCATCTTCATGGGATGTATCAAAAGTAATAGGTTCAGCATTGAACAAAATTGAAGGAGACAAATAGAAATTAAATCAACAGCTTTGGCCGACTGCATTTGTTCTGCCTTTCTACCACCTGGACCCGGCTGATGGTAAAATAGGATAAGAAACTCCTCGACCTCAGATGGCCGAGATCGATTCCAGGACGGTGCCGAGGGCCGTGGTGCAGTCTCTTCCTTGGCTGGCTCATGGAGATAAAGTTTTCTTCCTAAGCAAAATTGCATTTTTCATTCAAACTCTGCGTCTCAAGAAGAATTAATACGAAGCTGGGCTAAGCTGTGTGTCTGTATCCGGTAGGCTCGAGTGCTGAAATACTTGGCAGGGCGATGTTCCTCCTCTTCTTACTGCCTTTTAAATAGTGGCTCCATTTCCATCAGGTTTTGAGCTGAGGCCTTAACATTTGCAGTTCGCAGACTTCCGCAGCAGTTAAAGGGCTCTTTATGGGAATGTCTGTAGGATGTAGCTAAATAAACTCAGCCACGGAATAAGAAGGGAATGGAAAAAGTAGTGGAAATTTTGCACCGAGATGAGGTGTAACATTAAAGATCTCTTCCAGCTCTGCTGCAAACCAGACTTGATGTGGGAATGGCAGGGTGAGGAGTTGTTTTATGTTAAACACAATGGAAAGCCTTCCTGCCAGCCTTTAAATCTGTGTTTTGTACCAACATCAAACCAGAGGTGGGGAAGCCCAGATCATTTTCTTAAACTCTTTGTCAAACAAGAACGGATTTAGAGTGTGCTTTGGGGACACAGTTTGGGGGACATTTCCCAAGAAATGGCTAAGCTCGTGCTATGTCAGAGCAGTCTTTTACCAGGGGCAAGAGTTTTTAGTAGTGTGAAGCTCTTTTTGGGTGCTTTCATTGCAAGTCAGCTTTTTAGAAGAGCTCATTGCAGAAGACAGTGGATGCTGAAAATTTCACCCTTCCTAGTTTAGAGCATCTTGCAGGGTGCTCTAACGAAGCCCAAAGCACCGGCTCGTATGCTGTGTGCCACAGCTGGATCTCCAAACTGTGTCACCTTCCCGCATTGCTCTGGAGGAGGGACAGCGGGAAAGAAGGTCAACTCTTTTCCCCAGCAAGGGAGAGGACATCGATTTGTGTGGGTGGTGGGGGGATGGAAGGGTAAGTTCTCCTTAGAAAAAGGTTTATAATCATTTGCACTTACAGGCTGAACAGATGCAGCTGTGACCTGGCTTGTCTCAAGATCTGGGATTTGGGGAGGATTCAGGGTAAATGCTCAGTACAACATGCAGGAGCTGTAATCTGTCTTGACCAGCCCATCCTTTAACTTAAAAAAACCCCAAACGCCAGGGAGCTGATGAACACCCCCATCCTTTTCCTTCCTTTCCGAGTGCCTGGGGTGGGCACATGCTCCTCGTCACACTGAGAGGGACGTCCCCAATGTGGGTGGCTGTGTCCCCCCCTACCCCACCGTCCCCGCACCGTACCCCATGGCCGTGTGCTGGGACAGCTTGCCAGGGACACATGGGAGGCTGTTCCAGTAGCTGCACACAGACCCCAGGGTCACGCTGCCTGTGTCACTCGGCAAAATCAGGAGGCTTAATGAAGTCATCGAGAGATGCGTTGGGTATCCCTGACTGCAGGATTTGGCCCAGATAATCCATCTGCCAACGAACATGTTGCTGCACAAACCTCAGTAATCAAGAACGCTGTATCAGCGCTGGAGCCTCCCTGGAGGCTGCGTGTCCTACATAGCCACAAAATGGCAGGAGGGGGTTACGTGACAACCTATAAACCTGCTCTCATTCTGGGTGACGGACGGCGACTCGCTGGAACCAGAGCAGATGGACCGATCCTGCACTGTCCGGGCTTGGTTTTCAACCAGTGTCAGCATCATGACCCTGAAGTCAGCTGTGCACGTCTGCGGAGAAGCCGGCTCCTTGGGTCCTGGGGAAAGCAGCCCCTCCTGGATGCAGCTTGCAAAATACTAACGAAGAACTGTCACTGGAGCACATTAATTTCCAATAAAATGCACTGTCCATACTTCCCCATGTCCCAGTTATCCTCTGTGAACATGTGTGTGCATGCACACACTCACTCCCTCGCTGGCTTAGGTAACCAAGTTCACCATTTTCTACCCAAACTCTTTGTAATCTTGCTAGAGAAGCTCCAAGTCCCGTGTTCTCACTGGAGACGGACTCTGTGTTTGCAGTACACCCCTTAGAGCTGGGTGTGAACCAAATTTTCCCATGATGTCTCCCTTTGATTTTTTTCCTCCCCAGCTTTTCTGGGGATTTCCTAGGAATAGTGGTTTTTTCTAAATAAATTTATAAGGATCGTCAAACTTGGATGAAATTGGAGTTCACTCCTGTGAACTATTTTAGGTAGCAATATTATGAATACATTTTGGAGAATGAACTTCTCTCATCTTCCGTTGAATCGTGTCAGATTTTAGAAGCAGCAGAAAAAACCTGCCTTGAGCACAGAAACGTACCTCAGTGTTTTCAGCAAAAAAGAATCATTTTGGGAAAAATGTGGAGACAGGAAAGGCTTGCTTCTGGGCATTTGATGTAAAGACCCTTATGGATCCAGCTACCCTAACGGGAGATATGAGCAAACACCGGGGCAGCAGAAACCCTCATTTTGCTAAAACTTTGGAAACTTGCTGGGACTTCAGGGACAGCTCTTTGGAGACGACGGGGCCCATCCCACGAAAACTTTATATTCCTCATTAAAAATGTGTTGTTCTGTCTTAATTGTAACATGCAAGGTAGTGCGGAGGAGGTTTGCCCAGAATATTGTACAAAACAAGACCAGTATAGGTTATGGTATTGTCAATGTAACACTAAGAGGAGAATATTTAGGTGCTATATGTTGAAAAACAGACAAAATAGCCTTGTAAAGGATCTTGTAACTTCATCCCTGCACTTTGTAGGATAAATCCTGAACCTCTAAGAGCTAAAGCATTAATTTAAAAAAAATTCTATGTCTAGGGAAGCTTCATGCAACAAGTAGGAGCTTGATGTGTCACAAGGTACAACAAGTCTCCGTGAATATTTTTTGTACAATGCTTGACTGCTTTAAGAGTTCCTGTGCACCTGCACAGCATCCCTCCAGAGACCCCTTTCAGCCCAAATTATCCCACTGCGATGCTGGATATGATAGTGTTCTTTTAAATCTCTGTCATTAAATGTGCGTGCACACACAGATCTCCATTTTGCTCCAGAGATCTTCAAAAAAAGAGGGAATAGCAGAGGATCCCAAACATTTTACACAGTGTATTTTACTATTTTTGTAATACAGAGATTACGGATTGCACGTACCTTTCATGAACCTTGCAGCTTCTTTTGGTCGCCCTATAGCAGCAGCCGCATGACCGGGAATTACTGCATGGAGCAGCAAGGTTGGAAAATACCTTTGAGCTGACCTACACTGCTAAGCCAGAAGCTGAAATGAGATGTCAGGGTGAGCACAGGGAGCAGAGATTTGGAATTACCTATGAAAAATTCCCCTCCTAATCTTTCTGGGGAGAGGACAGGGGTTAACTGGGTACCCCCTGGAGCACAGGGATTCTGCAGAAGCATCTTCCTCCCGCTGCCGAGCAGCAGCCCCTGCACCAAAGACTCCCAGGCCATTGCTTGGGTGTAAATTTACTTGGAGGGGCTTTTTGTCTTTTCCCCAAGTGATCCAAGTGCTCCATCCAGCCACGTTAGCATTTCCAGCCCTCCCAGCTGTGCCTGTATCCCGCAGGGCACCCACTTGGCTCTGCTGTATATTTGGGATCTCTTCAAAGGAACGGGAGGAAACGGGTGGTCCCAGCCCAGCAAACTCCCCATAGACTCATTTTTTACCCATCATGTTGGAGCAAAGCAGCCTGTTTGGAGACTCAGAAGAAAAAGAGGCTGGAACACTTGGAACAGCAGCATCGCAGAAACCCCGGATGACCTGTCCCGTGGATGTAGGAGGCTTTATCAGCCAGGGTCTGCTTCCTGGCAAGAGTCTCTTCTGCGCTTTCCCACAGAACATCGTATTAGTCATCCCTAATTATTCAGCTCTAGTTGAGCAAAGCCTTGTCTCTCTCTTTTTTTTTTTTTTTTTTTTTTTTTTTTTTTTGTTAGCCTGAAAACCTATATTTAAATATGAAGGGGTGGGAGGCATTTTTAATCCCAGCTGGATAATTCCTAAAATGCACAGAGGTAAAGCCTTAACAGGCAGCTGCTATGAGAACGTGCTGTTAACGTTTCTCTGCTGCCTTGGGTGCGTAAAGCTGGGCTTGAGCGCAGCTTATGCCAGGTTTGCCTTGCTCCATGCCTCTTGGGTGGCAGCTGGGTCCTTTCTGCTACGTTTTGCCGTCATGTGCTGGATTTGTTGTGCGTGCCTGTGTAAGGATGTTCGTGAAGCTTTTCTGGATTTATGTGCTTTGTTTCTACCTCAGTCCTGTCGTTGTTACCCCATCGCACCCACGCAACTCATCTGATGCCTCTTGCCCCAGCTCACCATTTGAAGCCCATTAAAATGCGTGATATCTGGGAGGTGGGGAAGTATCGCAGCTCAGCAGAGAGGGACAGCAGAGCTGCAGTAAGCTCATATACCATGGTGGCAAAGGGGCTTCTATGGGGGTAAGTTCAGAAGAAACTAGTTAGATTTGGAGCTGTTTCTTGAGTAGCGAGAGAGACGAAGACGTGATACAGCCAGGGACACCCAACAGCGACCACAGACCAGACCTTGCCTCCCTCATTTCTGGAAGGAGCCAGACATGAAATACTCTCCTGAAATAGAAATACCACACACACAATTTTGGTACGAAGGTCCAGAGCACCAGGAGACTTAAACCCAAGGCCACGCGAAAGGTGGTGGCAGAGGCTTCGAGGCTTCCTCCGACCTGTTCCCCACCCTCAGCTCATCTTCATCACGGGCTGCCGCTCCATCCCCTTAATTTGAGCTGGGGAGGCTTAGTCTTGCCTTGTAATCTTGATTTGGAGTTTCATTATGAATTACTTGAGTCTCATGTGCCGTTTTAAATTGATTCGTTATGCTAAGTACTTGCCAAATGCATAATGAGGGCCTAAATCGGTCCGTATGTAACAAGGCAGCAATTCAATTATTCCTAACACTCACGCTCTGACAAAAGCCTCGATTATTGCTGTCACTTGCATTTTGGGACCTTCCCACACACAAACACACACACACAAAATCCGTCGGAGGCACTTCATGGTTTCTAGCACCCGCCCTGTTATTTATTATTATTATAAACGTTGCTATTTTCAGCTTCCTCGCACACGGGCGCGGGGCTGGGAGTTCGCCCTGTGGGGATTTGTATTAATGAGAATTGGAGCAGCTTTCGGGGGGGATCGCTGCTCCATCTCTTCCAATCCATTCACAAAGTCTGTGTGGCAGCTCTTAAAGACTGATGGCAGAAATGGAAATTAATCAAATGAAGGGGCTGTTAGCCACAGCACATCAAAGAGAGCCTGAAAGCCTTCAGACCCACCAGTGAAAAAAGCTTTTATCTCTTTCTAACAAATGTCAAAATCCAGCCACAACCATGATGGGCTCTAAAATGCCATTAGGGTAGTATAAATAATTATAATTACAACCCTAATCACGTCTTCCCTCGATTTCAGGGCACTCCACGAAGGAAGTGCTCCTGCAGCCCATTTTACAGATGGGGAGACTGAGGCACCATTCCCCAAGGGCATTGCAGAGCCTTGGTGACAGGGATGAGGGGATGTTGGGTTTAGTTCTTTTTCCCCCAAATTTTGTGCATCACCTTGGGAAATTGTCCCAAAGTAATCTGTTTAATGGACTAATGAACGATGGGCTAAACCAGACCCAAATGTGGGCACCGAGTTGAGCCTCCTGGCTTTTCCCTGATCCTAATTCGCAGTTCAGCTATCTTTAATTGGTGAAGCAGCCTCCAAAATACAGGTCCAGGACCTCCTCCTGTCCCTACTCCGTGGCTTTATCCTTCTCCTTGTGTCGGGCTGGTGGAGGAGGTGCTTGCAGTACTGTTCACATCGCGTTTTGGGGTATTCCTGCAAACTTTGGAGCTCAAAAAACCCTTTTACCTCTTTGCTTTGGAGATTCAGATGAGCAGAGAACAGCCTCAGGGCCAAACCTCAGTCTCTCCTCCACGCTGCAAAAAGCCGGGAGATGCTGGTAGCCGTAAGCTTTTCTTCCAAGCTGCCTCGTGATGAAATGTCAGCGCAAGGCAGCGCCCCGTCCGCAGTGCCGCGGCTGACACTGGGGCTAAGAGCTACCGTGAATCATCCTCATTAAAAAGCATTTCCAGTTCAGCTTTGCAGAGAGGCCTCTCACCGTCTTTGCTATTAAAAGCTCCTGTGTAAGGCAGGTGGCAGACAATAGACACAGGCAGGTACAGCCTGAAACCCCATTGCAGAGGGGACAGGGTAAAAAACACATTTTCTCACCCATTTCCCATGCCAGGAGCAGGAGGAGGAGGCTGGATCTGCCGGCAGCATCTCCATGCACAGAGGCTGCTTGCTGGGGATGGAGGGACCCGGCCTTCTAGCATAGGGGCTTCTAGGGAGGCTTATCTATAGGTGATGGTTGTCACCTGAACGTGGGTGAACTGCAAAGAAAGGTGTGTATGAGGGGAGTGTAGGGGGGGTGTAGGGTCTGTATGGCCAGCAGAGCTTCCTCAGTATCCCACTGTATCCCCAGATCCGCATTATCCACATGCCCTGGGCTCTGGCATTATCGGGTTACTGCAGTGCTGAGCACGGTTGTATGTGCTCCAGAAATTGGAGGATTTAGCAGGAATTCCCTGTTAGATTCTGGCTTCTGATAACTGTTGAGCAAGGAGGCATCTTTTGGGTTGATTTTTCTCTAACAGGCTCTGCCACCCTCGTGCATTTCCCAGCTGTGAGTCACATCTCATCCTCTGCTCTTCCCCCTCCC